TGTTGATGCTCTGCCATATGCAACTAGCAATAGAAGAGCGAGTTTGATAGAATGTAAAGAGTATTATCTTCAATTTTATAAAATTTTCAACTTTTATAATTATAAAAGTAAAACTATATGCTTGGTTTTTACCCATCTTTACTCTTTTATACAATTGCCTAAATTGCTAGAAAGCAGGTACTTGACCAAATCGATGTCAGAGCCTAGCCTCTGTATCGTAGGCTTACTCTTAAGGGAAGGAAACCTATTTTGCTTTTAACCACAATCCAAGAATTTCATATTAGTTGATTTGCATGTTTTGTTTTTAATTCTTAAAGTATTTGAGTACCTAGATTATTAGCACAAGTCTCTGTACTCCAACTTCTGTAATATGATTGTAATAACATGTCCCTCTGAAACCTAGGGTGTTCTATACACAAGCTGACAAGGATGTTTATTGGTACAAATCCAGTGGTGTCTCTTTTTTGTATCTATTAAATATTTTAAACTAACCATGTTATATACCTACAATTAAGTGTGCAACTTTTAATATTCAGAGCTGTTAATGCCTTTGTTTCAGGCACAGAAACGTAAATCAGATGGAGCACCAGACGGACGTGGCCGAAAAAAGAAACTAAAACTTTGAATTGTCTATGCTCATCATGTCTGCATAGTTAATGTATTTCAGTTCTACTGAGGATGTATAAAGCTTTGATAGCAATCTTGTATGTGGTATTACAGCATCATTCCCACTGTAATAGTAGGAATTAATGTAGTCTAGAGTTTATTGAATTTTAAACAGCTGTGCTGAATATTTTTTTCTACCATGTAATAAAATGGCTCCCATTAAAATCCATTATTTCTACACATTGTTATAAATGAGCTAAATACAACTTTGTCCTGTTTCTGGATGTTTGGTTTATTTTCCCCCTGAACTCTGGGACAACATAGTTTAACTACTCCCAACTGGTGGTAATCCAAGAATAAAAATTTGACAGACTTTGGTTCTTTGTTAAGATGGTATTAGTCACAAATGCAAAGCTGCAACTATTATTTTAAAAAAAAACTTTTTGCATGGAAGACTTGAAGCAGGTGAAGAATCCCTATTATAGAGACTGATTATGCTGGTTAATGACACAAAAGACAGGTGTGGTTGGTGGGGGTCTGTCATTTTGATGCCAGAGTATTCTACAGAAGTTCTTCAGGATAGTGTTCATCGGTGACCTTCCATGATTCAGATTTTGAAGCAGCTCATGTCCAATGTAGCAAGATTTAGCTAATACCACTGTTTGGGCTGACAACTCGTAATATTTGCACTATAAAGTATCAGACCATGATCATTTTGAACAAGAGAGAATCTACCATTCTTGACCAGTTACTCTCACTGAAGCCTCCACCACTGCTATCCCAAGAGTTACCATTGACCAGAAACAAAACTGGACTTGTTCTAAGGGTGGAGTTGGCAGCTAGAAATCCTGCAGTGAGTAACTCACCTGATATCTGGAATATTCCACTACTTTGATGTGTGCAGACACAACACCACAAATGTTCAATATCTCTGCAACCAATGCTCAATAGCAGTGTACCATCTACAAGATCCACTGCAGAAATTCACCAAAGCTCCCTGGATTGCATGTTTTGATCCCCATAACCACTACCAGCTAGAAGTACAAATAATCTCAAACACATAGGAAGACCTGCAAGTTCTCTTCCAAACCAATCATTGTCATGACTTGGAAATATACAGCTTTTTTTTGTTAAAAAAGCTATGCTGGGTCAAATTGCCAGAACCCCCAACTGCACTATGGCATATATAATACACCACATTACTGCAGCAATTCAAAAAGGCAGCTCAGCCAGCAATGCTTACATCCAAGAACAAAAAGTCCACTGTCCTACAATTTTAACCTCATGTATACTCTCCAACACTGTCACCTCTTTGACATTTGCATATTACTACCCCTCATCCCACTTGGCCTATCTGCATATGGTTGGTCACATCCGCTTCTCTCTCTACTATAATCCAGGTCAATGGGACTATACATATCTGGTTCCATTCTTTGGAAGTGATTCTGTATGATTTCTTTCCACTGCTACAGCCTTACTCTTAAACATGCAAGTTGACCCAAGTCATGTCCACTTTTCCTTCCTCTTATTTTAAAGTTAAACATTCAAAATCAATAATCTTTATTCTTATTTTCAGTGTTAGAATTCATACAATATGCTAAATGTATCTGTGTTCTCCATTTTAAAGATGAAAGTATAATTGAGTGATGATGGATAAAGATAGCAAGAAAATGAGTACTGGAAAGCCAGAAATTGAAGCTGTATTCAGAAGGATTTAACTGGAGACATTCACTGACACAACCATAGCTTTATTCTTAGTAATAATGGGATATATTAATACATGGCCATGGATCATACTGCATTGCACTACCATACAGAATTAAATAGAGCTACAACCACAAACCCCAGAGCAGTGACTGAACCCCAATGTTTTACATGTTGATAAGAAATCTAAAATCTCTTTCTTCAAGTAAAATCCCATTTAAACTAAAGTGAGTGACAGCAATCAAAATGGGCTATAAAAGAGATCAAGTACAAAAGCTTTACATTTTGTCAAACAAATATTTTAAAAATATTACAATGTCCCTTTTGTAGAAACAAATAATTCAGATCCAAATAATGAGCTCCAAAGAACTTAACAATCCATCTGACTTTGCTGACATGAAGAACTGGCCAACAGTGAGCAAGGCAAGTGTCTCGTGGGCATGGTGCTCAGGTGCTATAGATACCTTTCCAGGTTTGAAGCTGGTAGCACAGGTCTACCAAAGTAAAATGCACCATGCTTCCTTTAGAGGTCAACTAAAGCAGTAGGTTTCAGACATTTTAAAAAGTAGTTCAAATGTAAATATTCAGGGAAAGAAGTTTTTTTTTTCAAATCCGAGCAGTTTACAAGAGTTTGTTCATAACTTCCACAAGCTTGAAATATGTCAACATTAAGTGTCCCCCATGAGGTATCTGAAAAGTGACATATGCTTTAGGTGACTACCAAATTAATAGTACAGGTTAAAAGCATCTTAATTACAGAAAAACAAACAAATTATTTCAGGTTGCCACTGAACATTCTCCAACATGAATAGGTGGACTTGATTTCAAAACCCTCATAACCCATTTTTAATTTCAACTGTGAAGGTCCCAGCTAAAAGCCAATATTACACTCCCAGTCTTTGCCTGCATTCAGTAATCATTTACCTTTATTTGATAAAATTTATGCCAAGGACCAGAGACTGGGAACTGGAGACAAGCACCTGCACATTTCAGGCACCTGGTATAAATATCAAGCTGCTGGTTAAATACTGCACTAGAGAGAGTGAGACACACTTGATCAACATTCTCAAACTGGTTACATTCTGCAATGAGACATTTCAATTTCTCTCGCCATCTTTGGAGCCTGCAAGTGGACATCAATGACAGCAGGTAATGAATTGGGAGGAAAGGAAGAGCTTTCCCCATCCACGCTGTTTATACTCAGCAATTTCCTTTACATGCATCAGATGAAGAAAGTTTTTATCCTTTTACTCGGTGCTAGTCAAAATCAAACCTCAAGGGACTGTGGCAGGGTGCTCAGCCACCTTGTCTAAATTTTTTTATTGACCTGCATCAGAAGATGGTGCAAATAGATGTTCTGGTCATTTCAACAATTTGTTCACAAAATTTTGAAACAATAAATCAATAATTGAATGCAAGGCAAGGCCGGGAGCAACAAATGCAAATTAGGTACAATTGTCAAATGAAGAAAATCAGTAAACAAGTCAAAACTTGATATTGGAAGCAGAAACTGTCATTTGGTAGTACAGGACTTGAGTATCACTAAAAGAGAGACATAATTGGTATTCTTGCAAGTTACCCTGATGAATGCTCCAAAGCTTTGACAAATTAAAGGGGAAAACCAACATTTATACTACATGAGAGGAGTGCTGAGAGTTTGGTAAATGGACTTTGGTAGAGGCATGGAGAATGCATCAGTTAATGACAACTACCAGTCAATGGTTAAGTTTAGGTTACATTTTGAACCAGGCAGATTGACTGATGTCTCAGGGTAGTATCTCGACCAAAACAGAAAAGGGCTGTCACCTATTTTATTGCATTGAAACAGGTGCAGTGTGTACATATTCTGATTGCAAAGGACAGGGCCCTTTGTTGTAGACAGTAGCATGCAGTACATGCAAGCGAATCACACTGAGTCTAACTGCACTCAGTATTATTTAGCAAATGCTATCCAATCATGGAATCACATCTAAATGTTGCCCCATACTTACAAAACTCACAACATAATGTCCAACAGTAAATGTGATTCCACTAATCAATTGCATTTGCTAAACAATCTTGACTGTGCAAAGAATTGCACAGACAACAGTTTGGGATTGTCAGTTAGGCATGCAGAGTGGTGCACTTGCATGTACTGATAAACTGCAAGTATTAAATATACAGTGCCCCATTTTTGTAGACATATTATGTACACAGCTTGCCTGTTTCAATGCAACAAAATAGATGACAATCATTCTCTTGGTCATGCTTCAGCACAATGCCTGACCAATCAACCTGCCTGACTTAATAGTTAAGCAAAGCCCTGACATAAAAGTTAGTCGTCATTAACAGCGTGCATTTTCCTTGGCAATGCCTCAACCAGAGACAACTTGCCTAGTAATCAGCAGTCTCATGCAGTATAAAACATGGTTTTCCATTTACTTTGGTATTTCGTGCACCTTGTCCTGATGCTTGCAAAACAAATAGACATTTTGTCAAAGCTTTCTTTTCAGCAAATACTCTAAAGTGGAAGACAATGAAATCTGATTGGTGTAGCATACAAGAATTTAGTTTAGCATGATTGTATGCAATTAGTAGACACCTTTTAAAAAAGTCAAAACACATTAAATTTAGTTTCCCAGTTAACACAAATAAGTTAAACAATTTCTTTTTCAATGCCCTGGTTTTCAAATATCTGATCAAAAGTCTTGCATTGTCCAAGTGAGCAATATTTAATATCTGAAATAACACAAGACATTAATGGTTACATTTTAGTGAGATTTTCAAACAGTACATTTTCCCATTCTTGAATGAGCATACAATATTTCACACTGGGCTCTTCACAAACTCAGCTGTTAAGCAAAAAGAGACGAATTTTGAAAGCTGTGTCTTTATAAATTCACACATCCCAATTTAATTGCTAGCTTGAAGTTAGCCAATTCTTCCTTGCTTCAAGTGGTTTAAACGATTAGAAGTCCACTATCATAACTTCATCAAGAGGTCAGCCACATCACACAGAAGTGAACAAGAGAATCCTAATCAACATGCAAAGTTCATGTCACAAATAGAAACCCACCGTGACCAATTTGCTTAAGTGAAGTTTCAACCTGGATTAGGCAGTTGATGAGCAAACAAAACCAAAATACTAGTGATGAAGCGTTGAATAGGGTAGAATACAGTACATATAAAATCTAGGATATTGGCATAGCAAGGGAATATAGGAGCAGAGAGCTTGTGCATTAATGCTTTGATCAGAACATCACTTTTATACAAGTCCAAATAGACCAGTTGGCAGCGATGGCACATATCGGTTGTGAAGATTTGCAATAAGTAGGCCTGGTTGAAGATTAACAGAAATTGGTCATACAATCATTGGTTTACTGGCCATTAGACAACTTAAAAACTGATAGACTTGTGTTTCCACTATTAATACAAAATGCAAATACATCTTGTCCATTTATTCATACATATAGAAAAATATACTCTTCTACGTCACAAATTCGCCAAAAAAAAAATTGATCCCTGATCAAATTTTCCAAAATATCTTCTTTTTGTAAAGAATGTAAGAAATAAAAACCCAGATGGTGGTAGCAAGGAGATTCTGGGCCAAGTGTTCACCGTGTGAACGGTCATTGAGCATTTTCCATTTGAAGGGGAAGTAATGCTCAAACACCTCATGTCCAACGTACAGCAGAATGGAGTTCATCCCTGAAGAGTTAGAGAAAACAAAATTGAATGTCAGTGTTCACCTGAATCCTATGAACTGTCTGCATCAGAATATTTAACCATAGCTGGATCAAGTTGCTACCACCCTTTATGGGCAGTTCACCTACAATTAAACCGGATATCAGACAACTAAGCTGAAACATCACAACAATGTGCAGCTGAGAAGCAATGAAATGTCTAATTGGGATTCCTATTAATCTAGTGAATTAGGAGACTATGAAACACAATCCAAATCCCGAATATCTGTTCAGTTAACTCCCAATCATGTTCATTGTCTTCCAAAAATGTAATATTTTGGAAGAGAAGTTTTTCCCTAGTTCATGCATTTCCATTATGGAAACAAATGCACTCATTAACCAGGGCAGAGTGACTCGAGCAACTGAGAAACCAACCTGGCTTGCTTGCCCAGACAGCCATTCATGTCTGGATTCAGGCATGAAAATAACAGCTCTCTTCCTTGAATTCAATTAGAAGACAGACAGAGAGGTAAAACCATCATAAGAATTCTTGGCACAAGTATTATTGTTAATATCAGTGTCTCATCAGTTTTCAGCTACTCCAAGAGAGGAGGACCACATGAATTGGGAAGGCTAAACGTACCAATTGGGTCAGCCCAATATCAAATTTAGCAATTTCTCTCAAATATTGAGAAACCTGTGTATTTCCGCTAAAACAGTATCTATGGCAAAAGAAAAAAAAAAAGAGAGAAAATCTCATGTGTCAGTGCATGCTATGTGAAGACGTCATTGTTATGACACACTGACTGCCATCTCTACAGCAAGAGGAAATACCCTCTTCTCATCTCTATTGAGCTGAGATTTGTGCTCATCACACCACCCCCTGATGGAAGATACTTTTCCAGAGTGGGAGGGAGAAAAATGAATAATACAGTGGGAAAGAAAAACTGAAAAAGGGATTCTGGAATTTTCCATACCTGGATAAAAAAAGGGAGCTCCAGTCCAATGTTTCTTTATGTCTACCAGAAAATAGATCAGCAAGAGGAGAATGTAAGCGAAGCAACTGAGTGTCGTAACATAAGAGATGGACCTGTCCATGGAAGGTAAAATTGGAAGGTTTGAAGAAAGCATTTAAGTAAACCAACAGCTTACCTCCATGAAAAATTTTAACTAATAGTAACACAATTTCCTTAGTTCTTTCTATCATCCTAGAATACAGAACAAAAAAAAGAGAAATGGATTTGAAGATCAGGTGAAAGCACAACTTGGCTCAAAACATGGTGACAAGTGCTAAAAAACTATTTCATTATGGCCACGAGAGGTTGGCATTGAGGAGTGAATTGCTGTAACTCAATTGGTTCTCCTCCAGCCTTGTATGACATTGGTAGTCAAATCATATTCCAACTGCAAAACATTAACTTTAGAAGTGTCACGTTTGGCACTGTCCACGATTTGCACGCTTAACTCTCGGCAACATTATCCATAAGCTTTACCAAATTAGCATCCCAAACTTCACATCTTTGTTACTGTATCCAATACTAAATTGTGCAAGAAAATTCACAGCACAACTTGCTTGCCTCCTTTTTCACCCTCCCGAAACTGTCCCACTGTCACTTTACCCCTTTCTGGATATCTCAAGCTTAGTTTCTACCCCCATTTAGACCCTGAACTAACAAAAACCACTCTGTACTTCAATTTCAAAATCAAAGCCTCAGTGACTTAATCCTTCCCCAATTCAACCATCCACCTACTTCCAACATCTTCCAATCCCATCCTAAACTCATTGTCACTTATATTGACATGCTCAACTACATCTGTACCATCGCCCACCTGAACCCCTTGCTGACTGCCTGAGCTCCATATTACAAAGTTCCAGTTTATTCAGAGCCTTTGCTCACATCTTCTCCTTTTGAAAATCTCAATTGTCTTCTTCTCCTGCCACAGGAGAAAGACAGAATTTTGAAATTCTGATTGTTGCTAAACCCCTTGCTTCTGCAGCTTTATATCACTGCCTGCTTTACTCATGGTGTTCTGCTACATAACAATCCACACTCTCCCAAATAGAAAGAACCTTCAGCCAGCATTGCTGCCAGAGTTAGGAACTCAATTCCTGTTCCACTTTCCTTGCACATCTCCCACCATGATAGGTCACCTACAGATTATTTTTAAACAATTGTTTAATTGGGCTTTACATTTGTAATTTGCTGTTTAACCAGCCTCTACTTAATGACTGAGGCATTCACACTCCAAGAGCAATGGCAGTGAAGGGAACATTGGATAGCACTGTCACAACTTGTAATAAACTTACACCATGACCCATTTTACAAAAAACCTCTACAGAAGTAGCCCTCTATGCAGAGACCCCTGATCTCCTCTTTGTGATGCTGCGAAAGGATTTCTCATTGCAGAAGCAGACAACTTGGAGATAAAGTTATAATTAGTATGAAAGAGCCATTTAAAATCGGTGATAAAACTACATTAGTTCTGCAACACACACTTACATACAGGCCAGATTTTATGGGGCTAGAGGAATATCTAACATTTCTGGTTGACTGCAGTGCTGTACTAAATTGCCGACTCACTTCACGGAGGACATACGCACCACAAATTCTTGTTGACTGGAATGAAACCATGGTCTTTCGAACATTTTGTCAGGATGGCTGAAACAATACCCTAGGGTCAACAAGCAAGTCAATGGATTAGACAAACAAGGAACATTTCACCAGGATGATCCTGATCTACTAAAAATTCACTCACCAGCAGTGTACTCCAAGTAAAAAATCGCAGTACAATCTGTTTATTTTGACCTTTGTAAATAATGAAAATCTTCCCAGCCTGTAAGGGGGAGAAGATACATGGAGCTATTTCTTGTCTGATACAAAGTTGCAACTGAGGTGCTGAACACATTGCCTATTTCAATCAGGTGGACACATCTCTCGAGTTTGGTACTCGCCACTTACTTTCGTGCATATTTGCATCATTTTACATAACAATACAGACCACACTTAAATACTTAACTGGCAGATAAATATTTATGGATGCCCAAAATCAAAAACACTTTATCAACACAAGTCAGCATTTCTTTCTTAATCCAGTTAAGTGCAGGCTAAGTCTATGCAGGTATCTAACAAATCAGTATAACAAGAAAGGAAAAAAAAATAATTTGATCAGTATGTCATTTGTCATTGAAGACCACTCTCCCAGTTACTTAGCAACATCCAATCACAAAAAAAACAATTCATCCATCAAGATTGCATGAACTGGGAAGAGCTTCTTTTTCCTCAACCTTCAACCTGAAAGAATACAATACAGCCCAAATGTTCATCTCACTTCCTCAGACAGTACAGTCAGCACAGAAATATCACTACAAATTTGTATAAGTGGATGCAGTACATTCACATCAAGACAACATGTATTATGGTTATGTACCATTCAAAAACCCTCACTGTTACTCAGCAGCTTTTACCTGTAATCCCAGAAATGCCATCACAATCGAACTGATTAGTCCCAGCAAGTTCTCTGGATCAAATGGCACCGTAGTGTGATAAAGTATCTTAAGAAACAAAAAGATGCAATTTATTGTAGCTCAAAAATATTTTAAAGCAGATAGAACAGGCTTCATGAAACTCCAACTCAGAATAAATCCAACAGGAACAAAATAAGGATGGTAAGCATTTCTAAATGTGAATTTGCTATAAAAAAAAACTTTCATAGCATTTAAATGGATTGTTATTTTGTGACATCAATGTTCCGGTGGAAGCTCAATCCTTTGTCGTCATTCTCAAGGAGATGTGTTATTTGCATGCATAAAGATTAAAAACCACATTTGTATTGATTCCTCTCATTATTTGTGTTGTACATTCTAACTGAAGCTAAAGATGAGAAAAGGTGTCTTAACCCCTTGAAAGCTTTTTCACAACCACTTTTTCACTGTGTATTTTGAATAATCCCAAGGTGCTTGCTTCTAAATCTACTTGGCAGGCCATTCCAAATATCTGCCCCTCAGACCTCTCTTCGGTCTAATTTTCTTCTAAAATTTGAAGAAATTCTGAGTTTACCTAACCCATACTAATTAAATATTTGATTTGCGCAGTTGATTTATTTCCAGGGAAGAACAGAAAGTGTTCCAGTCTTTCGTATAACTCATCCTACACTAACTATTTTTAAACTAACCAAATTTGTCTGGGATAAATGGCTGTTTACTATAAAGAGGGTTAAATGGATTGTTACAACAAGTGTTGATGTTTCCTCCTTTTGCCCAAATAATCAACACTAAATCTCAACCGAGCACAGTTAGCCGATTGCATTACATTGTGTTTAACAGGATATTTGAGGGGAGGCGGAGTAGTTTGAGCCTGTACTCATTGGAATTTAGAAGAACAAGAGGTAATCTTATTGAAACATACGAGGTCTTACGGAACTCGACAGGGTAGATACAGAAATGTTGCTTTATCTTCTGGGAGTCTAGGGCTGGACAGATTGAGGTGTCATATTTTTAAGACACAAGTGAGGAGGAACTTCTCAGTCATGAATCTGTGGAATTCTTTACTGCAGGAGAGTCTGTAGATGCTGGTTTATTAGAACTGCTTATCTCAGCCTTGAACATATTTAATTAGTAAGGGAATCAAGGATTATAAGCAAAAGGCAGGAAAGTAGAGTTGAGGATCAGATCACTCATGGTCTGACCAGATGGTGGAAAAGACTTGATGAGCTGCAGGCCCTGCTTCAGCTCCTATGTCTTATCGTTTTATTTAAAAGAAAGATGTGGCTGCAAGAGAGGGGAGGGCAGATGAGAAACACGAAAGGAGATTCAAAGAAGCTGACACAAAATGTTGTCACTCAGTTCAGTGAAAGTGATATGCCTACTATAATGGATTTCAAGCCTACGGTCCTCGGGTATTGGAATTGCACTACATACCTATTGTAGAGAATGGCGGGGTTGTAGGTGGGTGTGGGAAGACATGAATAAAATCCAATGCATTAGTGTTTAATTGCTCGAGTGTTAATCGGTTCATTCAAATCCAGCAACTTTGAGATCAAGGCTGTGCCAAATTTTGGCTCTTTCTGAATTTCAGATCAGGTGGATTGGTAGCAGTCACTTCAGCTGAAGTCAGGTGGAGTCAAGGCTACCTAGACTCAGGATACAATGGTAAACGTAGATGATATCTGGAACCACATTATGCTCATGTAGCCCCTAGCTGAATTGTCCAGGGAAGTTGTTTTAAAATTTTACACAACTAGATTTGGACATTATGGAGTATTATAAAAGTATCTGGATTCAAGATAACTAGTTTTGGACAACCAGATATGCGGTACTGTACCTGCCCAAGGGAATCATCTGCCATTAAAAGGATCACTTCTTTCCAGTAAGAACCTCGCTGTGCACTATTTGATTTCTGCATTGACAATGGACTGATTATTCTGTCTGGTTGCTCCGAAGTGTCTGCAGAGTACCTCCTTCCTGCAAGATCAACCACTACTTACAACGGAGAGTGGTGTTGAGTGGTAACATCCTCTCTTCTGTATTACAACAGGAATTAAACAGTTGTTCTGGGTTTTAGAAACAGTTTGTGATCATTTTTAAATCACCTTGGCATTCTAAGAGCTTGACTTCATGTCTTAAAAATTAAAATTTCATAAAATTAGCTGCCAAGTCTGTGGTGCTATTTTGTTTGATTTTTGTTCATACTCATTCATAGGATATGGGTATTGCTGGCTGGCCAGTATTTATTGCTGGTGCCTAGCTCCCTTTGATAAGGTGACAATGAGCTGCCTTCTTAATCTGCTGTAGTCCACTTGCTGTTGGTTGACACATAGTGCCATTAGGGAAGGAATTGACCCAGTGAAGGAACAGTGATACATTTCCAAGACAGCATGACTACTTGTTGTATGGGACTGGCTATAAAGGACTGATCAGTGGCTTCCCTTCCCCTCTTCAGAATGTTATAAACAAGTCTTGTTCTGAACCTGCTAAGTATCTTTACTGTTTTTCTCTCATTGCATCTTGTGATGATATTTATCAAAATTAGTCACTAGACTTAATCGTGTGTGACATGGACATCCTCAGTCCACTACATTAAATCAAAGACATACAAGTCTGGTCCTCAATTGTGAATGTTTCTCCCAACCACATTGCTCTGGATGGCACAGCAGCATCAGGGGAATTCAAAAGGAATCCCTTCCTTATCACAAAAACACAATCTGTAACTTGACCTGAAGCCAAAGTTACACAGGGTACAATCTGGGATGAGCCAGAGGGGAGCTGATAGTTAATTGGGAATACTAAAGATTGTTGCACCTAGCTTGCCCAACTATTCTGTTTGATGGCGAGTTCTGTAATTATATTAAAAAAAACAAAAATTGTAGGATCTTATCTTCATCCTATTTAATCCAGGAAAACAGAAAACTCACAATGCCATTATCATCTTCACAATTTATTTCTGAATAACCAACATTCATTACAGATGACAAAAAAAAACTATTTATAGGATGCCCAGTAAAATTCAGCAGCTTACTTTGCAAGAAGGGTGCTGATAAATGTGCTTCTCTCCAAACAACCACCGATCAATGTATCCTGCTGCTCCTCCAGTACAATTAACAAATTGTCCAAAGTCTCCAATTCCTCCAGGACCAAGATAACCTCTGAAAAGCAATACAATCACTTAACTGAATCAGAGATAGTAGGAACTGCAGATGCTGGAGAATCCGAGACAACAAGGTGCAGGGCTGGATCTGCTCCTATGATGCTGCTTGGCCTGCTGTGTTCATCCAGCCCTGCACCTTGTTATCTCACAATCACTTAACTAACAGCTTTTAATGAGGGACAAAAAACAACATAAGTAGCACAGATGTGACAATTGACAGAACAAGATTGGTCACTGGTTCACATCTGGGTACAAGCAGAGTTTGCTCGTCTCCGGCAGGGCAGGGATGGGGGCCAATGCAATTCTGGTATTGAAAGGTTACACCTCCCATTCCTTTGGCACCATAAGAAAATGTTGCAATATACAGCACGTTACGGTCAATGAAATATGTTTAAAGCATAGTTTACTGTTGCAAACTAGAAAAGTGTAGCAGTCACACAGCAAGACTCTACATGGGGAGATGTGAAGTTTTTTTTTTAAAACAATGGAGGTTGAGAAGATGACATTTTCAGACTGTCTTTAAATTAAAAAAAAAAGGGTCAGGCAATCAGATTAATGGGGACCCAGATTGTTTTACTAGGAAGAGGGTGCAAGGTGTTTATATTTGGAGTCAATGGTAGCAGCTTGTGCCAAAGCAGTTAGACAGGGAGTCTCCAAAGGTGGTGGGAATATTGAGCTATAAATAGATATGGTCTATTAAATCCAATGGTCTATTTACTTCAAACTGTGTGTTGGGGTCTTAAAGAAAATGAAACAGCATTTCTACCTGAATACCAGTCCCATATGATTCTCATTACCAAGGAAGTGAGTCAAGATCCAGGGACAATTCTGAATTACCTCAAGTTCACAGAGTCAAAGTTGGAGGGTCAGTCAGGAGGTGCATTAGAACAAACTCTGGAGGTAAATGAATCAGGTACTCAGCAGAAGAAGAGTTGAGGCAGAAGTGGAGATGGGTGAAACTACAGCAGAAATTGCTGATAGAATGCTCATCTTGAGGTCTGAGAGTTACAAATGAAGTGGTTCAGCCTCAGGCAGTTATTAAGGAGAGGTACAGAGTAGGTGGCAAAGGGAGTGAGCTCGTGGTGGACCCAGAGACCATGGTTTCCTGCTTAACATTTATTTTTAAAAATCTGCTCACACAGCACTGGGCGCCAGCAGTAGTCTGAAATTCAGATACTATGGAGGGGTCACAAGACCTGGTGGGGAGACAAAGCAGTTAAGGGAAAAATGTAGAAACTGATATTATATTTTCATATATAATCAAGGGACTGCATGCGGATGAGAAATAGGAGGAGTTCAAGGACAGGTCATCAGGAGGTCAGAGGTAAGTGTACAGGAGTGGGAAAGAGGTCACAAAATCAATAAGAATGGAACCAGTGCCATCTGACTGAATAACTTTGGAATATCTTGGAGGTGGGATAGTGTGATCAACTGCATCAAATGCTACAAACAGATCAGGAATGACAAGGAAAGATAATTTCCCTTTGTCACAATCACATAGGATCCCATTTGTGACCGAGAATAACTATTTTGTTTTAGTAGAATTGGTGGAAAACTGACACCAGAGGAATTCAAACGTGGGAATTATGGGAAAGATGGATACAAATTTGGGAGTTGATATCACACTCAAGGATTTTTCAGAGGAAAAAGGAGACTGGAAATGGGCTGATCATTTGCAAGAATGAAGGGGTCATGGGTTGGCTTTTTGAGGGGTTGAACTGAGGAGAGGGATAGAGTCCAAAAATAGAGAATTGGTAATAACTTAAACTAACATGGAACGTAACAAACCTAATCTGGTCAGTACATTGTTGAATATAGGGTCAAGAGAGAACGTGGGTCTTTCAAACAGGATGAACTCGGAGTGTTTGAAAACAGATAGGCGAGAAACAAGAAATAGGCAATAAATGCCAGCAATATTAACATTCTGAAAATGAATACATAAAAAAAAAACTGTTGTTGTAGTCTCTGTGAAGCTTGCAAATGATCATGATTAGGAGTAGCCAAAACCACACTTAAACCATCAATGATGAGAAAATCATTCCTGGCAAGTGTCAAGAATAAAAGATTTAATGAATGCAAATTTAAATGAAAAGCATTTACAAAACCTTAAAATATCAAAAAATGCCTCAAAATACTCTTCATCTTGTTTGAGGACAGATTGAACAGTGGTGGAGCTACTGAACACAGTTGCTCAGGGGCACCTCCACCCATCCTACTTATTGTGAGCTTCCATTAATCGTGGTATAATCACACAGAGGCGCTATCAGTGTTGACACGATTTTGGGTAACCACTTCAACCCTCCCTGTTTGGAAACCAATTGAATGTGACCCTCCTTTCTTCTCTCCTTGCTGGAGACTATGTTTACCTCCCTGGAAAGTAAGTCTTTTGTTCTCCCCTTAGCATCGCAGGAAAGTGAAGACTTACCGTGGGCAATTAGGTACAGGCAAAAGGAAAGTCAGGCAAAGCCAAGCGCACTCCAATACTAGAATCATGATCCACTGGGGCCAGTAGATCAGAACATCTCTGACTGGAGACCACCAGCTATCCTACAAAAACATGAGCAAATGTCAAAATAATGCAAGGATATTTAGCAAAAAAAAGACAACTGATCTGGCTGTGGTCTCAATTCCGTTTTCGTCTGGCCCCATAACCCTTGACTCCCTTGTCAAAAATGTATCTAACTCAGCCACAAATAAATTCAGTGACCCAGCCTTCAATGCTTTAATGGGGAAGAAAATCCCACAGATTAAGGACCCACAGAAAAAGAAACCTAATCTCCATCTTAAAGGGAAAGCCATTATTTTTAAAACAGAATCTGCTAGTTCTAGGCACTCTCAAGAGACTCCGTCTACTCCATCAAGGCCCCTCAAAAATCACGTTTCATCGAGATCACTTTTCATTATTCTAAAATCGATTAGATAATAGCCTAATTGGCTCAACCTTCCTTGATTGGATAAGTCCTTCAGTCTAGAAATGAATTGAGTGAATCTTCTGTGAACTGCTTCCAGTGCAGTTATATTTTTTTTTAAAATACTGTAATGATACCAAGCTCTACACTGACTCGCGATATGGTCTCACCAAGGCTGCAGTAACATTTACCCAATTCCATTTCTCTTGCAATAAAATGTCAACATGCCATCTGGTTTCTGAATCACTTGCTGTACCTTCATATAAACCTTTGGTGATTCATTAACCAGGACATCCAAATCCCTCTGTACTATTAATACCGCAATCGCTCTCAATTTAAATAGTATACGGCTTTTCCATTTTTCCTGCTAAATTTCAGATTTGGACCCACAACATACACCCATCTACTATTTTATGCAGCAACTTTTGCTGTAGCATCTTCTCAAATAACTTTTGGCAATCCAAGTATGCCAGATTGACTGTTCCTTGTAGCTATTCTGGTCAGGAGTTCTGCTGCATCATGGTATGCCACGCCCACCTGTCTTGTGTCATCGCCATATCCACTGTAGCTTGCCTGCAACCATTCAGACGTTCATCACCCAACAACACCTAAGTCAGCCAGTTTTCCTGCTATTCACCAATCTAAGAGAGGGTTCTGTAGCTTTTCAACTCTAAGCAAATGGCCAAACTACCACATCTACAGTAAATAAAACAAAGAGCTGCAAATGCTGGCAACCTAATGCAAAAACAGAAATTGCTGGAGAAACTCAGAACTGAAGAACGGTCACTGGACACAAAACTTTAACTCTGCTTTCTCTCAACAGATGCTGCCAGACCTACTGGGTTTCTCCAAGATATAGTCCAACTTGTCAGCCTTTAGGTCCAACAGTTTTCCCAGTACTTTTTCCATGTTCATGTTTACTTTCAAGTTCCTCCCTCCCTTTCACATGCAGATTTTGAAATATATTTAGGAAGGTTTCCAAATCTTCTAGGAGAGACAGCTACAAAACACTTGTTTGGCACATCCACCATTTCTATTATTACTACCCCATTCCTTTTTAAATACTTGTATAAATTCTGTTTTTCTATTTCTACTTGTCAGTAGAAGTCTTTCTTCACTGAAAAATCTTTCCAATTTTGACCTAATTTATTTATACAGAATTATGTTTCATTCATTTTGTATTATCCTTGACTTCTTTACTTAATCCTTTTCAAAAGGACCTCGTTCTTAATTAAATCAATCTTTGCGTTAAACATCTCTACTGTTCTCCCTTGTAATATAGTTTCCCAGCTTACTTTAGCAATTCTGCTTTCATATTGCACTTAGGTTTAGAATATTAGCTTCTGACCCACACTTCTCACCTTCAAACTGAAAGTGAAGTTCTGTCATATTATAAGTCACTGTCACCCAGATGTTCCTTTATTGCGAGGTTATAAATTAATTCTGTCTCATTGCAGATTGCCAGGTCACGAATAGCTTGTTCCTGGTTGCCTTTAGAACATACTACTCTAAGAAACTGTCCCAAATACACTAACTCATTTTCCAGGCAACCTTTGCCAATCAATAAGAACAAAGTCATTCATGATTACTGCAGTACCTTTTCTTACCTGTCTCATTTAGACTACTGACGGAGGCCTGTAAACTAGTCCAAATGACTTATCTTTCCCATTTCTTATTTCTGCACAGGTATTTGCAGTTGGAAATCATATCTCAATAGCAGAAGTTTTAAAAACCAAACATGTGACAAGAATTATAACCCATATAAGTTACCAAGGATCTTTCAAGTTTACACCATGAAGGAGCCAAACTAACCGTTAATACCAGTTAATTGAGAACTTGTATAGGTTATTATCCCAAAGCTATTTATTATGCCACATTCACACAGATCTGATGGACAAGGCATTGTAAAATTTATGTCAACTTTTTTAGGAAGTGAATTCTAGAGGTGTGTGCATACATTTGTTTTCTGTCCTTTGTAACCCAGAGAAGGTGGTGGACCATTATCTTGAACCACTGGTTTGAAAAAAAAAATTATGCCAGAGGCCAGTTAAGAGTCAAATGCAATGGCGAGAAGCTGGAATTGGACCTGTTCCAGACTGGCTAAGGAAAGCAGGTTATCATCCTGAAACATGGCCACTAGTGAACCAGTCGAATTTTTAATGACAACATGAAGTCATGGTCACTTTTACTGACATCAGCTCTTGGGTTTTTGAGTAAAACTGATTTCAAATGCTCAGTGGGATTTGAATTTACATTCTTTGGAATAAAATTCAGGCCTCTTGATTATTAATCCAGCAACCACTACACTACTGCTCCAGTAGTGCGCTCTCTGCAATATGAACAGAAAGACAACTTGCAACTTAAGAGCGAGTCCAGTATGTCTACATAGCTCAATCTGTGCTCCATTTTAAGACACAGCATTACTAATATCACAATTGGCCAACAGAAGTATCAGAAGGTAATCTTAATTTCTGAAAGCCAAACAGCATTTGCTGACTGGGCAATAGGTAGTCCCAATTCCTCTAATACTCAGTCCAAACAATAACAGCAAAAATATTCAAATTACTCAAGTGTGAATACAGGGTGCAGAGAAATTCAAAGTTTATTTACCAAAAAGAGAATTTCAGGCCAACATTTTCCACACAGCAGTTCCATGACAGCAACCACACCATAGGTAAGACCCAGCCTCTGAAGTACACCAGGGATCCGCAGGGTATCCCAGGAAACTACATAATGAAAGCACAGAATCAAAAATGGCTCATCAGCTCATCAAGCCTGTATATTCCAGAAATAATTCCCTCAATTGGCTTCAACGTCCCAAAAACAAGAGCCGGTGAATGCTGGCTGTCAGTGCCTGTAATTTTACTGCAGAATTAAGAACAAACCTGTTTCATCTGGCTTCATGTGAAATCTTAAAAATGTCATCTGCCTGCAGAGTTTCTCTAACTGGTTCCTTTTAGGAGTCTACATTAGCCTGCCGTAGAGTCCGAAAAACATTCAGAGCTCATGTCAACTTTGTAAACATGTCCGGTAGCAGGCATAACATTGGAATGAGACCCATGGACTCAGGGGCTTATCAAATCTGTCTTTTCTTAGTTTGCCCAGCTCTCCTCATCCTTAGCTCACCTTCAAAGAATAAGTGTCTTGGGGCTCACTTATTCCATTCCACTTAGGTCTTAATCTTTTTTTCCTTATTCATTTATGGGAGGAGGGCGTCACTTACCCAGGCTGCATTTATTGCCCATCCCTAACTGCTCAGAGGGCAGTTGAGAGTTCCATTGCTGTGGGTCTGGAGTTACATGTAGGCCAGGCCAGGTAAGGGTGAGAGATTTCCTTCGCTAAAGGAAATGAGTGAACCGGATGGGTTTTTCTGACAATTGACAATGGGTTCATGGTGGTCATTAGATTTTTTATTCCAGATATTTTACTGAATTCAAATTCCACCATCTGCCATGGCGGGATTCAAACCTAGGTCCCCATAACTTTCTGGGTCTCTGGATAAACAGTCCAGCAATAGTACCACTAGGTACTTAGTATGTTAGACACCTCAAAAACCCCTCCCATTTTTCTCCACGATGAAGCTTAATTAAATTCTTCGAAGATGTTTTAACAGTTTGTCAACAAGTTTGGGATCTTTATGCTAGATTCCCTGGCACATATTCAAGTGGGAAGTGCATATTGAGAGCTCATAATTACATTTGATATTTTGCACAAAAAACTTCAGGAAAAATTCTCATTCAGAACAGCTCCCTGGTATCCCATTTGCATACTTGCAATATAAATACACGATTATGAAGTTTGTAGATATGAAAATTGACCACGCAGTTGGTCGACAGAAAAGTGGCTATGGATTGCAGGAAGATATGAATTAACTGGACAGGCGTACAGAAAAGTGGCAAATGGAATTCAAATTAGAGAATTGGAAGGCAATTCATTTGAGAAAAGCAAACAAAGGGGACTGAATGCACAATAAGTTAGAGGACTCAAGTGTAGAGGTACATGGGAATCTTCGAGTGCACATCCACAGATTCCAGCAGTGGTAGGACAACCAGTTAACGTTAATAGGGATACTTATACCTTCAGCTTGATCAAGCTAACAGTAAGGAGCGGGTGTTAGATTAGAACAGTGTAAGACACTAGTTATGCCATAACTACAATTGTGCATCCTGCTCTAGTTATTGCATTACAGAAAAGACATGAACACACCAACAAGGATACAGAAGAGAATCAGGAAAATGTTATCAGGACTGGAAAACTTTAGATATAATGAAAAATTGCATAACCTGTTTTTGGTTTCTTTCGCAGAGGTAGCTTTACATGCAGTGAGATGCAATCGAAGGGCATTAAATTAGATGGACTCATTTCCCTTAGAGAGAGGTCTTTAACCAGGGTGAATCGGTTTTAAATAATTGGAGCAGAATTGGAGGAAAGAATTTGCATCCAGAGATGGGTGATGGTATCTGAAATTCATGGCCTGAAAGGGTGGCAGAGGCAGAGACCATCATCAGCACATTAAAAAAAATGATACTTGACTTTGAAGTATTCCAACCTACAGTATTATGTATCAAGAGATGGAAAATGGAATTCAGAATAATTCTTTCACAGCCACTTTGTATCGAGATCATTTTAGTACTTCCTCATATTTAGCAGATTCAGAAAACTAAATCCATCAGAATAAGTTCTTTTATTTTCTAAGCATCAGGAGCAAATTCATTATGTAGCTTGTGAAGCAACAAATGCATATCTACTTCCACCCATGTATCTTTTAGAAGGATGCAAGAAACCTAGTGCTGGACTAATATCCCAATAGATTGGGAATTCAAATCTGCCATGTTAAATTCAACAAATACAGTCACTTGTCATGCCAGAAAATCAATGCTAATTTAACTGTCAAAAATATTTGATTCATTAATGTCCATCGAGTAAGGAAACTGACATCTCTTTTCCTGGTCTTGCCTATAAAGTATACTATAAAGTATCCCAATCTATTGGGATATTAGTCCAGCACTAGGTTTCTTGCATCCTTCTAAAAGATACATGGGTGGAAGTAGATAGCTTGTGAAGCAACAAATGCATACATAATGAATTTGCTCCTGATGCTATCCCACTACGTGGTTGACTTTTAATGCCCTGTGGCCAATAAATTGATTGTGCTTGCCTCATCCATATCACAGGAATAGATATACACATCTGTAAAATGACCTTTGTTTCTCAATCCTGGACAGAAATATAAATGTCTTTAAAAAAGGTGCACATACTATTCCACTTCACGTATGCAAGATGGGTTTTCACTAGAAACACAGTAAAATGGAGTTAAGAGACAGTTATCTTGTGAACAATTATCACTACTTAAAGAAAGCAAATAAGCACTTACTTGGTCCCTTGCAATAGTTTGGGTTGATGACAAAGATGCCTAGTAGTATTAGGGCTGCAGTTCTCCAAGCAATTTTACCCAACAGTCTCCACCTGGAGTGGTTAGCCTGCAATGCTGAGTTCAGGGAGAGGGCAATCGATGTTCCCATGATAAACACAAACCTAGAGCAGAAACATCCAGTACAACCTTGGTTAGACACATCAAAACAACAATCAGCATGTCAACTTGCTTTTAAATTTAGCTATAGTTTACAGTTTTCAGAAACAATGTGCAGGCATAAATAGTCAGAATCAGAGATATACAGCACAGAAACAGACCCGTTGGTCCAACTCACCCATCCTGACCAGATATCCTAGATAGATTTAGTCCCACTTGCCAGCATTTGGTCCATACCCCTCTAAACCTTTCCTATTCATACACCCATCCAGATGCCTTTTAAATGTTGTAACTGTACCAAAACTCCACCACTTTCTCTGGCAGCCCATTCCATATACACACCACCCTCTGAAAAAGTTGCTCCCTTTGGTCCCTTGTAAATCTCTGCTCTCTCATCTTAAACCTATCCCCTCTAGTTTTGGACTCCCCTACCCCAGTGAAAAGGTTTGACTATTCACCCAATCCATGCCCCTCATGAATTTAAATTTTTTTTTTTGAAATAAAATTCACCCCTCAGCCTCTGGCATTCCAGGGAAATTAGCCCCAGCCCATTCCTCCTTTTGCCCCATAATAATGGTCATGCACTTTTAATAAAACTGCAATGGAGGTATTTTTCTACTGCCTTAATTTAAATAAAAATCTAAAGTGCTTAAAGTAAAGAATGTTCTGAAGATATGCATTTCAATTTTCCTGTTAAATTTCAAGTTGTTTAATTCATGTCATCCATTTAAATTGAATAATTAAAAAACTCCTGTCCTGTTTAATTAAAAATGCATTTGTATTTCTGAAGAATTGAAACTGCTTCTATGATAAAAATGGCTAAATTCACAGGAAATCATATGCAATATAAAAGGGTATTTTGTAGACTTTCACTTCATGTTCTATTAGTCACATGTGCTGCATCAAACATTTATATAGCATTTTCCACAACTTCAGGATAGCCCCAAGCATTTTACACCCAATGTAGTAAAGTTGTAATTTAGGAAATGTGGTTGCCAATTTGCACTCATACAAGTGTTAAAAAGAGGTTATTTGGTCAATGTTAGCTGAGAGATAAATGTTGGCTGGAACGGAGGAAAACTCCACGGGCTTCACATTGTGCAAACTTTATACCCATCTGGTACCTTGTTTAATGGCTATTCTTGAAAGATGGCATCTTTGACATTAATGCATTTCCTTAGTACTGTACTAAAAGAAGTGTCAGGCTAGAATCTGAACTCAAGTTTCTGATGTGGGACTTGAACCCACAACCTTCTAGCCCCAAGGCAGTGGTACCAACTAAATAACGGTTAACAGCTTATTGGCAATTACAGGGTAATTGTCAGTCAAAGACTGAAATCTATTCTATAGCACAATCCATTTTAAAAATAAAAAAAAAAAAAAAAAAATCACAAAAGATGCTTACCATGGAAACACCAAATCTGCTACTGTTAATCCTACAAAATTAGAAATCAGAAAACAAAGCATTATAGATCTAGACAGAATTTGCACAAATTGCATGAGAAAAGCTTTTTAAAAATTAAACTAAAACATATTACATTTTCTTGTTCTGGAGAGTCATACCAGAACTGGAGATGTTCGTGGTTTCTCTCTTTACAGATGTTGGCAGACCTGCCAAGTTTCTCTAGCATTATTTTTATTTCAGATTTCCAACACCTACAATATTTTGTTTTTATTGTACATTTTCCTGTGCTGTGTTCAAATGAAAGTACTTAAAATTAGTGAATGGATAGGAGTAAGTCAGCACTTACACAATGAATTGAACAAACAAGAACAGTTTTTAAGAAAACGGCCCTCTGAACCCTTACTGCAAAGCCGAATTCATTCAGTATAACAAATGGTAACAGCAACAGGGACTAGATTAGTATTTGGTAATTGTAGACAGATACACAAAAAAATCTGACCTACCATTCCAGCTTTCATGTTTGAAGAACCAGTATCTCCCACCTCCATAGTTAACAAAGATCATGATCACCAAAGCCAGCCTAGAAGATTACACAGAAATCCAGTTAAATTCCAACTATTACATCTCCCTTCAAGCAGACTCACTTGTAATCCAGACTATAGAGAGCTACAGACATACAGCACAAAAACAGGCTATTTGAGCCAACTAACATTTGCTGTTTTCCATCCACAGCAGTCTCCTGTTATTCTATCTGCCTCACTTCAGATTTCAGCAAAGCTTTCTATTCCCTCCAATTCAGGGAAACTTTTCAAAAGCACTGAAGTTATTCACATTAATCACTTCCTACAGAAGAAAGTTGCACATCCTAACCACACTAAGTGAAGATTTTTATCTCCCCAATTGGATTTATTGATAAGTCACTTGTATTTATGACCATCAGTTTTAGCTTCTCCCAGAACTGGCAAAATTTTCTTCACATTTATCCTGTCCAATCCACATAAGAATTTTTAAAGACCTTTCCCAGGTCACATGCAAGTTTTTTTTTCCCCCTCAAAAGAACACGTTTCCCATTGAGAGACACCTGGGATATTACAGCATTGGACCAAAATTAGACTGCTTTGCAGCAAAGTAGCAATTCAGTATCTGGGTGGAGCCCAGAACATGAGGATGCAATCTTAAAATTAGTGCTTGATTGTTCAAGGGTGATGACTGTCCTTCACCCAATAAGGCAGTGGAAATCAGGATCTTTCACTCAAAAAGTTAGAGAGACTAGTTCATTTGATAATATCAAATGTTTATATTAGGTCTTAAGGTTACTAAGGCTATAGAGCGGAGATACAGATCAGCTGCAATCCAACTGAATGACTGATTGGCCTATTCCTATTGCAGAGTCTGCAGTATTTTTGATTGCTCATTGTTGAACAGTAATGTGATTCCATATGCTAGGCATCAAACCAGTAGGGAAGATGTCAATTTTGTCAGCAATTCTCCACGTGAGCTGCTGCTACTACAACAACTTCATACCGATAGAATTTCTGCACTCCCCTGCTCCAAGTAGTAGTGTAAACAGAAGGAGTGATGGGGAAGGTTCTGAATATGAAGACAGCACGTGAAGTAAAAAAGACAGACAAGAGAGAGTCAGAGTATGTAGCAATTCTAAAGAACTAAACTGCATTTATTTCAATGCAAGGGGTCTTACAGATAAGGTTGATAAACTCGGTATTTTTTTTAATTCATTCACAGGAGAGGGCGTTACAGGCGAGGCAGCATTTATTGCCCATCCCTAATAGTTAAGAGTCAACTATGTTGCTGGGGGTCTGGAGTCACATGTAGGCCAGACCAGGTAAGGATGGCAGTTTCCTTCCCTAAAAGGGCATTAATGAACCAGATGGGTTTTTCCGACAATCGATAATGGATTCATGGCCATTAGACTCTTAATTCCAGATATTTTTATTGAATTCAAATTCCACCATATGCCATGGCGGGATTTGAACCTGGGTCTCCAGAATGTTATCTGGGTCTCTGGATTAACAGTCCTAATACCACTAGGCCATTGCCTCCGCCTGCTAAAGGATGTTTAAGAACATGGGATTGCGACATCATAGCTATTACAGAAACTTGGTTGAAAGATGGACAAGATTGGCAGCTCAATGTTCCAAGTTTCAGATACTATAGGAAGGATAGAAAAGGAGACAAGAAAGGAAGGGGTCATGGTGTTTTTGTTTAAGCAATACACTATTTCTGTTACTAGGTGAAGAAATTTCTGAAATATCATCCAGTGAAAAATATGGGTAGAAATTACAAATAAAGGAAAGATCATTTTGATGGTATTCTACTATAGGCCCCCCAAATAGTAAGAGGGAAATTGAGAAACAAATATGTAGGGAGATCTCAGATATATTTAAGCATAATAATGTTATAATAATGGGGGATTTCCATTTTCCAAACATTGACTGGGGATACCATAGTGTTAAAGGTTTGGATAGTGAAGAATTTGTCAAATGTGTTCAAGAAAATTTTCTTTATCAATTGTGGATGCTCCTACTAGAGGAGGACCAAACTTAGACCTTCTTTTGGGCCATCAGGCAGGGCAAGTGATTAAAGTAAAAGTGGGGAAACACTTTGGGTCTAGCGATCACAATTCTATTAGTTTCAAAATGGTTATGGAAATGGATAAGCCTTCCATAAAAGTGAAAGTTTTTAAAATTGGAGTAAGGTAAATTTTAAAGTTGATTGGAGTAGACAGTTTGCCAGTAAAAAGACATCTAACACGTGGGTGGTCTTTAAGAGTGTGATGACAAGAGCAGAGGTATTTTGCTCCTGTTAGAGAGAAGGGCAAGGCTGGTAAAGATTAAGCAACAATGGATGAATGAAGATATTAAGGCTCTAGTCAAGACTAAAAAAAAGTGTATCTTATTTTAGATAAAGACAACTTGGTTCAATTGAATACCTTAAATCAATATAAAGAGTGCAGGGGCATTCTTAAGAGGGAAATCAGGAAGGCAAAGAGGGGATATGAGATAGCATTGATAGGTAAGGTTAAGGATTATCCAGAGATTCTACAAATACATTAAGAGCAAGAGGGTAACTAAAGAGAGCGTGGGCCTCTTGAAGATCAACGATGTCGTCATTGTGTCGAACCCCAGGAGGTGGGAGAGATACTAAGTGAATATTTCGCATCAGTTTTTACTGTGGAGCAAGGAATACAGCCCAGAGAATGCAGAAAAATAAACTAATGTTTTAGAAACAGTTCACATGACAGAAGAGGAAGTTTAGGAAGTCTCAGAGACTATAAAGGAGGACAAATCTCCAGGACGCGCTCTAGTGTATCCCAGACGTTGTGGGAAGGAAGGGAGGAAATTACGAGACCCCTTGCAGAAACATTTGCATCATCTGTAACTACAGGTGAGGTGCCTGATGACTGGAAGGTGGCTAATGTTGTACCCTTTATTTAAAGGAAGGTTGTAAGGAGAAACTA